GTGAGGTAGGTCGGTTTATTCCAGCCTGACATGTGCCTGCTACGAAGAAGAGGAGGAGGAGGAAGGGGGGGGTTGAGGGGGGGGGGGGGGGGGGGGGGGGGGGGGGGTAATGCAGACGAGGTATGGCCGCAAATCGAGAATCGATAATTCAACCGCATTCATTCACTCTGTCCATCAATAACAGTGATGTCGCTGCTTTTCAGCGACTCAAAGGAGAGGCAACGCGAAGCCCACTTTGCGTACTACATTGTCAGTCAAGTCAGTGTCGCTTTGGCCGCCTGAACGCGTTCAAAATGTTGGAAACGGACTCTGGAGTAGATAATTCGATAAAGCGAGGCGGTTTGAATCCTCCGCCGCAGCGCACCGATCTGCTCCCGTTCTTTGTGATGTAACGGAGCAGAATCCTTCACGGTGGCGCAAGGTACACAAACAAGCTTCCATGTCCGAACTAAATTTTCCTATTTATCAATTCAAAGCGGGCTGCTGGGTAAATGTAGACGAGGCTCGGCTTGGTATATTACTGTACTTGATAACGCCGAGGCAGTGGCAGGTATAGCACCTCAAAAATCTCCTGCGGCATTCCGGGATCTCAACCGAGGAGGTGCTGTTTGTGATCCCCGTTTGTTTCACTTGCCAGCGCTTGACAATATTCTGTGCGCGCCCGTGCGCGGTCGTCGTTGTCGTGTGGGGATGTGTGGAGGTTCAAATGCGCTTTATTACCCATGTCCGGTCCATGTTGAGGTTTACGCCGGCCTCTTAATTGTCTGGTGGGTTAGTGCGCCTGCTGGCGCGCGAGTGTGCGCACAAAATGCACGGAAAAGGGTAATTTGAGAATAACAGCCCCGGCTCGGCTTTTGCTTGCGCATATGTGTGTGTGTGTGTGTTGTGTACCAGAGTTTGTGCGCTTTTGTTGATGCGCGCGCTCATGTGCGTGTGCGTGTGTGTGTGTGTGTGTGTTGACCCTGGTTGATTGTGCCGTCTCTGTTCTCTCTGTAGGTCGCTGGAGAGAGTGATGACGCGGCAGTGAGAGACACACATAATTCACCGGCGCGTGCACACACACGCTCACGTATTTGCCCACACACACTTTAAGTCTTGCCCTACTAAGACAGGGAGGAGGGGGGGAGAAAATACTGCTATGACGGTGTCATTTCTCTCCATTACCACTTTGTGAGCCACACACACACACACACACACACACACACACACAACCGCACACACACTCCCACACGCACACACGCACTCTCACACTCCGTGGGGAGTTGCCTGCATGGGGGATAAGGCCCTATCTAGGGCACAAAGATGGAGTTCACTTCCCATTTGTGTCATATTTAACACAGCGAGACACACGCGCACAGACACACACCTGGAGTCGCATGTTTGAAGTGAAGAATGAAAGACTGAATGGAGAGGAGACGCTGAACCTCAGAGACCAACCAGACACCAAGCCCAGGCAGAAGAAGATGTCCAAAGTGTGGTGAGCGTACAGAGGGAGCTACTGTCTGACCCCCCTCCATCACTGGAATTTTGTAATATCAGGGTCCCCCCCTCCCCTTTCTCCCCCCTTTTCAAAAGACACTACCAAGACAGTAGGGCGCACTTGAGACACCTGAAAAGTGTTCCACTAAGTGCCCTACCGTTGTCGCCATGCGCTGCAGGCAAGAGGGAACACCCGAGCTCTAGCCTCTATCTCCCCCCGTGTGTGTGCGTGAGTGTGCGAGAGCGAGTGTGTGTATGAGTGTGATGGCGGTTTGCGTTTGGGCGGCGGCCCCCCTGCTCTTCCTGGGGCTGTGCCTGTGCAGCGTCGGGGGCCAGGCCCAAGGGGAGGTCCTGGAGTTCGGGGGTGTCTCCAGCCAGTGGGGGCGGTTCCCCGTGTGGAACGCCTGCTGCGAGAGCGTGCTGAGCTTCAGCCTGCGGACTCACAGCCAGGAGGGCCTGCTGCTCTACCTGGACGACGAGGGCTTCTGCGACTTCCTGGAGCTGCTGCTTCTCCACGGACACCTCCGCCTGCGCTTCTCCATCTTCTGCGCCGAGCCGGCCGAGCTGCAGTCGGGGGTGGCGGTGAGCGACGGGCGGTGGCACGCCGTGCGCGTCAAGAGGGACTGGAAGAACACCTCGTTGGAAGTGGACGGGCGGCTGGAGGGCTGGGCCGAAGTGAAGAGCAAGAGAAGAGACATGACGGTGTTCAGTGGCACCTACATGGGCGGGGTGACGCCAGACCTCCACTCCTCGCCGCTGCGCCTCACCTCCCCCTCGGTGCGGGAACACCCCGCCTTCCGTGGCTGGATCACGGCGGTGAGCATCAACGGCTCGCTGGTGACACTGGACAGCTCGGAGGGCGTCACAGTAACCGCTGGCTGCGGGCCAGACCACCAGTGCCAGAACGGAGGGGTGTGCAGCGTGGTCAATGACCAGGCCGTCTGCGACTGCTCCGACACCGGTTACCAAGGCAATGACTGCAGCGAAGGTAAGACCCCAAAAACCATGCTGACCCATCATAAAACCACCCATCATTTACAAAAACACACAACATTTTGACACACACATACGTAGACATCTATTTTTCTCGAGGCAGAACGCCAAATCGATTCCTCTAATTCCAAATGCCAGGCTCTTTTACCAGGCGTATTCTTCATTTCCACTTTTACCAGTGCCTTCAGTTGGCGTGTTTGGACCAACAGCCTTTGCAAACAGTGCAAGACATGCATACTGATTACGTCTGACATTGATTTCTTGCCTGCAAATGACTCCCACTTTGCTATATTCGGCCAGATCCCAGAAATAAGCCTTTCACCCAAGAAGTAGTCAGTTTAGCAAAGCTGGTGCTGAGATCTTGAGAACAGCTGATCAGTGCCACATTCAGTCCGCAAAGCCTGACAATCTGCAGAGCTGCTACAAATCCCTGAAACTCATTGAGAGACATTAAATCGCTGGCAAACTCTGAAAGACTCAGTTTACAAATCTGGTAAAACACAATAACCATATAGAGTTGTATCGGATGTGATTGTTGGCTTGTGCTGAGAAACTCTAATTGAAAGTGGGTTAAGAGGCTGGAAATCAGTGGTTGTTACATGGCTGACACCTGGCTGTCCGTGTTAATGGATTTGCATTGATTGTAGATGGCCTTCGGAGCTACCACACAAAGGGTGCTGAAATGATGTGTGTAGAATCTATCACTTGCCATTAATTTTAACAACTTGCAGCCTGTTAAGTTGTTCTGTTGGTGTCTGTGTGATTCCGCATAGTATGTATTATGCCAGCGCTCCTGTGCAGTACAAGCAAGAGTGTCCCGTCGGTAGTGCTTCAGAAATACGACAAAGTGTAGATATACACTTCAATATACTGTTTTGGGTTGTCAGAAAAGGGATAAGTATGCTTTGATATTCACACGCCACAAAAACAACACACTTTACTCCTGGCAAACAAGCCTTTTGGTCAGTTCAAGCGCCAATACACTGGGCAGTGTAATGACAGCCATTACCAAAGCAAAGCAGCTGCTTAATGAACTGAGCTACCTTGTTATGGCCAGCACTGTAAGTGTTTTCATTCCCTTCCTACTCGGTCGTGCGTAGTCAGATTTGCTTGAGTTCATTCAACTCAAAACCGGGTTCTCACCCAGCAGCTCCCCACACTGCCCGTAAATCAAAGATGGCTTTTTCTATTTGTCAGAAGAATTGATTCCTTTCATGACACATCTGCCAAAATGGCAGAGTGGCCTTGCTGCATGGTCACTATTCAGCACCACCCTGACCTTACGCTTCACCCGGCACCACTGTCAGCATCGCACATCCCTTTAGACACCTACCATATCTCACCCTAGCATTTAGTGGACAGTGGAATAGCCACGGAGGTTACCATGGAGCTAGTACTGACAGGGAGACCTCCTGCCAGGAGAGTCTTTCAATCCTCATCGTCTCCTCCCCACCCACAGCCCAAACCTCCCATTTACCTTACTACCTGCAGCTTGTTGTCAGCTCTTAATGACTTCAGGCGTCATGTCTGCCACAAAGATTTGCTGTTTTGACAAATACGTGGTGGTGGGTGTGAACGCAGTGCTCATGTTTATGACAGAAACACACACAAGCTTAACCAAGCGTCTGGGGAGTGTTCGCTTTCTGGTGCATTCACGTGTGCTGAAATAATTAATCCAGTGAGAGAATTCCTGATTCAAGCTGCAGCAATTTGTCAATTAGTTGTTTTTTTAGAAGATTTATCAGAAACTGTCTTGCTTATAAACCCTTGTTTTTATTATTAGTTACTGGTTCCAGTGTCTCAGTGGAATAATCCATTGATTTTGCTGTAATGTATGGCAACAAAATTAATTTTGAAGGGTTTTGGAGTGATAATGGAGCGTTGGACAGGCAACCCAAAGATCTCCCCAGGGAACATTTTCAATTTTAAGACATTTCAAACTAAAATAATTAGCAGATTAATGAATTTTGTGAAGAGGTGTTACTCTCAGATTCACAATTAAGCATATTATAAAGCAAACTAAAAATTGAAAAACTTTATCCTATTTATGAAGTTCAAAGATGTTCTGCCTTTCTCTCATGTAGGCTGTATAGTAGCGTTATTGCAATTTATTCAACAATAACAGGGACTTCTCTGTTTTTGTGGACAGTTATGCAGAATAAAATATATCACAGATTGGTCAACTTTTTATTTATTGTCCCTGGTTGCAGTTATATGAATTATGGTTGAATATTTGGTGTCTATATTCAGAAAGAACAGGGAAAGCTCTTTATAGTATCTATGCTGGATTGATATATGCAGTCACGGTATATGATGACTGTTTAGGTCACTGTGGGAGGCACACATACCTGCAAAAACGTAGAAACACGAAGAGAAACCCATTCACACAGTGTGTGGGTACGAGCACAGTTATGTGACAGCAGAGCAGGTCTGAGGGCTCAATAAGAGATGCAGATGTTTTATTTTTACGTAAGGGCTGTCTGCAGATATCCTGTCAACTTTGTACTGACACTTGTCACTCAACAAGAGGCTGCTCACTCCTTTGAAATGGAGGTTTTGTATTTTTTTTTCTAAAATGGACTTGTCTTGGAATAGTTGGTTCTTTTGGTTACAACTCACACTACATCTGCTTGGAGAGTAGTGCAGGGAATGAGCATAACTGTCTTTGGCTATGTGAGGTAAAATTATGTGAGGTATTTAGGTAAAATTACAGAGCAATTTAAAAAGTGATGTGATGTTTCACATGGACTGGGTAACTGAATTAGTTATGCTCCATTTTGTTTTAGTAATGGCTAAACCTATAAGAATCTTTTGCGTCAGCTTAGTCTCTGATTTACCAATTTAGAGGTATGAGGAAAATAATTATGTGTGGTTTAAGAAAAGATAGCATTATAAATAGTTACTTTCTTGAATTGAAATCACAGTAGCTGGAGAACATTAGCTCAGGAAATGGAATCAGTGATCTTTTCCACTAAACCTGCAGCTTTTAAAACAATTTAACAAAAAGATAAACCTCACACGACAGAGTAAACAGCTTCTTAGAAGATTTCCACTTCTCCTCTCAAATATCTGATTCATAGTGTTCACTTACTGTAAATAGTTCAGAGATACAGAGTGCTCTGAGACCTGAAGTGAGCAGGCGATATATATTTTTGTGGATGGCTTAAATTGTTTGGAGGGCTATTTTGTGCTCTGGAATGTTTTTTTAATGTGTCTCCATGCAGTGTTGTTCATTTCTGGCTTGACAAGATGTGGGATACCTTCAACTGCAGCCTGGGTTAATGCTCATATCGCTACCAGCAATAGCTATCACCAACTTTAAATATGTCAAAAGAAATTTCAGTTCAGGTACACTGATGCATCCTGGAGAGGAGTTCTTTGTATCTTAGTGAGATAAAAGGGATGGTGAGAAGAGAAAGGGATAAGTACTCAGGCCAAGAATTCTTAGCTTCAATATTATGGAAATTGGATCTATTGCAAGGTTATTTGAAATCTTGGTTATATTGGTTTTGCACAGCCATAGCTGCATGATTGAAGATTACGGTGTTCATTTAAATCCATGTTCAGGATGTTTGTCAGATCCATATGTTAAGGTTTCTCTTTTTCGTAGCACCTTAAATTGCTGTTATTTTCAATCCAGCAACCTTACTGAAGCTACATTAAAATAAGCTTTGGATAAAATTAAAACCTCCCTGATTATTAGGGGGAAAATATTTTATTAGTCTTTAATGAATAATAAATATGCTCTGCTTGAGAGAAAAATACCATCTTCAGGTCTAAATCTGAAGCTGGAAAATGGTTATGCTTTCTGCCTTATGCCATATTTTAAGAGGTTTTGCTTCCTAAACACATTGTTATGTCATTTGTAAGCAAACATAATGATTTAAGACATTCAGACTTTAGATGGAGTCTGTGGAGATAGTTTAAGCAGGTCTCTGTTTAAATATAATGAGGCTTTTTACCCTGTGGTGAGGGCAGAGTGAACTTGGCTTGTTAGGCCTGGCCTGGCTCGCATTGTCCTTGAGGGCAAATTGCTGTTAGCATGCTAATGGCTCCACCTGTTTCTGCTCCATGCTACCAGCGCAAGGGCAGCGGCAAGGAAACACTCAGATGAGCACACAGATCAAAATACACTCACTCCCACACATACCGTCATAGATACACTGACATACACACTCAGACCCAGTATTGAATCATGCATGCCCCTTGTCTTCCTGCACTGCTAATCCATCCCTACATGTTTACCCTGCTATCTCACACCATTATTATGGCCATAGTCAACGTTAGTGTGTGTGTGTGTGGATGGCGGAGAGAGTGTGGGAGCGATTGTGAGAGGGAATGTGTATGCCTATATGTATGTGTGTTGCATGCTATCTGTCGGGGTGCTCTGGGGAGAAGAAGCGGCAACAAGGTAAGTTTTGGGGTAAACGGCTCTTGAATCCAATTCTACAGGTAGGAATGGTCATCAATACCAATAAGCCTTCCCAGCCCCTTCGTTTCTGCCCTCTGTACCTAGAAGAGTGTGTGTCTGTTAGTGTGCTTAGGTATGTGTATTTGTACCCATTTGGAATCGAGGAAGAACTCTTTAATGTGACTGTATGCATTTATGTTTAGACAAACCTCGGTTTTGGCTACCGGTACAGCATGGTATCCATTGTGATGTTTGTGCTGACTTGCATGTATGCCACCACGGTAACCCCGGACGGGTGTGCATGTACAGTAAGTAGCCATGGTTACCCAATAGGGCTGAGCATGCATGTTAATGAATGTCTGTCTCTCTCTCTCTTCGCCTGGCTGCAACACCTTTCCAGAGCACAGCTACACTCCAGGTAGGTCTATCTATCTATCTATCTATCTATCTATCTATCTATCTATCT